TACAAACGCCAAACAAAAGTATAGAATTGATTATTTCTCGTGATCCGAATCTAATTCTTCCACCAATGATACTTCAGAATATTTCATCACCATCATCAACTAACAGTCTAATCAATAATCGACAATTTAATCTACATTTTATCAATATAACTTCGAATATATCAAAATCGATTCATTTTGAAATGTTGTCAGCTAATCAAACTCTTGGTTATATGATCATCTTGAAATTCGATGCTATTCCACAATTGAATTCATCCATGAATCGAACTGATAGTTGGTCATTATTCTGTTCTTCATTCTCGTTCACTATTTATATCGATAATCAACGAGTATCAAATCATCAATCGATAATATTCGGAGTTTGAGAATTAAATCAAACTGAATTCAATATATATTGTTCTAATGAAACATTTGAATCACCACCGATTACCGATCAATCATACAATTTCTCGGCCAATTATTCACTGCGTATATTCATATCAGGTTGCTATTATTTTGATTCAAACGGTCAATGGCAATCAGATGGTTTAATGGTGAGCTGTTTTTACTCTTTGGAAAATCGAATAAACTATTTTTGTCAAGGTTGGACCATTGACCAATCATTTTGAGATTCAATGTTTTTTCAATCATCTTTCAACATTTGCTGGTGGTTTGCTTATTCTTCCTGAACCAATCAATTGGAATTATGTGTTTGCTAATGCAGACTTTATGAAGAATAAAACCATTTATTTGACAATAATTCTCATTACAGTTTTCTATATTATTTTAATAATTTATGCTCGTCGTAGTGATCAAAAAGATGTTGAAAAGGTTCGTTAGTTTCTTCTATAATAGTTTTCTCATCTTATTCCTTGATTTCTTTTAGCTTGCTGTCACTTATCTTAATGATAACAATCCAAGTTATAAATATTTCTATCAGATTATATTCTTCACAGGTGCGAGAATCGATGCCGGAACAAATTCGAAAGTAATTACATTCATTCTATTTCGATAATTGAACGTTTTAAAACTTAGGTTCAATTCAATCTAGTGGGTGCCGATGGTGAAATTTGTGCTCGAACATTATTCGATCCAAATCGAAAGATTCTACAACGTGATTTTATTGATTCATTTATCGTTGGTGTACCTTCGTATGTCAATTGATTTACAATACAAATTTTTCTATTTAATTGTTGTAGATCGCTTGGTATTCTCCATTATATGCATCTCTGGCATGATAATTCCGGTCGAAAGGAATCTGCATCATGGTTTTTTAAAATATGTCATTGTACGTGATCTACAAACTATGGAAAAGACCTATTTTATTTGTCAAAATTGGTTAGCCATTGATCAAGGTGATGGAGCGGTAAGAACATTATTCGATTTTGTATTCAAAATACTTTTTATTTTATTTCAGATTGAACGTTGTCTACCGACAGCTGGTGATGTTCAAATGCATAATATAATCTATATGTTTACAAAGAAAGCCTATTATAGTATGTCTGATGAACATTTATGGCTTTCGATCTTTATTCGACCACCAGCCAGTCATTTTACTCGTGTTCAACGATGTACTTGTTGCTTTGTTTTACTTTTTACGGCTATGCTTCTCGATATTCTCTATTATGATCAAGATCAACAGGCAAAAGAGTCCACATCTGGTGGTTTTATTCAGCTTGGTCCATTACACTTCACACGAGATCAGGTTCATTGTATAAAAATTTGATTTATTCATGCGATTTTGTTTTTTTTGTTTTGCTCGAATAGATCATTATCGGATTTACTATCGATATTTTGTGTCTTATTCCAAGCCTATTATTTGTTCAATTTTTTTGACATATTCGTCCACGGGATATAAGATCGAACCCCCTATTCTACAAACATTTCGGAATAATGGCGTGATTATTCATGAAACTTCTTCAGATAACATTGCTAAAGTATTGACTAAGAAGAAAAAAATGAAGAAATGTCGATTACCATGGTGGTGTTTGATTATTGGTTATATAGTATAATTTCTTTACATTAGTATGTCTGCATTTTTCATCATGGCACGTGGTATTCAATTTGGCGATGTTCAAACTCAACAATGGTTGACATCACTCGCCACTAGTTTCTTCTCTCGAATCTCTTATCTCAACCGATAAAAATTGTTTGTTTAGCAGTTTTCTTCGCTTTTTGCAAGCCAAAATCAATTGATGATGATGATGAAGAAGCTGCTGGTTATATTGATAAAGATGAAAATATCTATTTGAATGGTTATGAATCGAGGTCTGTTCGGTCTTTTTTTAATTATTCATCGTTATTTATTTCTGTTGTGAAAAGGAAGATGATACATTTGATATTTCACCACCTATTCAAGTCAATCAATTGACTGAGACTGAAATAATCAATGCACGTATGAATCATCTTCGTGAAATAGCTATGTGGAAATTAATACGATAAGTGACTTATCAAATCTTATCTGTTTTAATTCTCTTCATTGTTACTTATCTCAATCGAGATTCAAATTGTTTTTTTCAAGTTAAACATATGCGCAATTATTTTCTTAATATCGATAGTGAAATCTATGATTATACTAAAGTAAGTGTAAAGATTTTTATCAGTTTTTTGATTTATTGATAATAAAAATAAACGATTT